GTGTGTGTGTGTGTGTGTGTGTGTGTGTGTGTGTGTGTGTGTATGTGTTAAAACAGGACTGAAAATGGCTATATTAATTTAGATACAATTTTCATATTCTTGAGCCTTTTCTGTTAGCACCTATTTTGTTATTTTGTCATTTAGTTCTCCAAAGCCTGTAGTTATAATTCACTTATTTTATTTCATTAAAAAATTTTGAATTGATTTTGGGGGGTGGGGTAGAACATTGATTTGTAGTTCCACTTATTTATGCATTCACTGGTTGATTCTTGTATGTGCCCTGACTGGGGATTGAACCTGTAACCTTGGCGTATCTGGATGATGCTCTAACCAACTGTGCTACCGGGCCAGGGCAATATTTTATTTCTTAAATTGAGATATAACTAAGTCATATTTGAATGAAATGAATTATCAGCTTATGACTTAATCATGCTAACTTTAAATGTAGGTTTTAAATCATGAAGCTTTCCCCCGCTTCCAATTTTAACTTCTTCATAGCTTCCATCACTTTCTGCTTTTTATTAGATGTAATTTTGAATAGTAATTCATTCAACAAACATTTACTGAGCACTCAGTATATGCTAGACAGTCTGGTGAAATGAAAAGATGAGCTTTATATTCAGACCTGATGGAATTTTGGATTTGCTTTGTCAGCTCAGCAAGTTCTTCATTGTCTCTGCCTAACCTTTCACAGTGCCTGGCATGTGGCAGGCACTTAGTGAATGTATGGTATAAGCCATTCCTCTCCTCTAGCCCAGTGGCATCCCAGCTCTCTAAGAGTATACATTGTTTTAAAAAAAGAAAAAGACTTGTAACAAATAATTATAGCACTTGGTGATAAGTATTACTGGGAGTGTTAGCAGGAGCCCATAAGGAGCCATAGTGCTTCTTGGGGAAATCAAGGAATTATATACAGAAGGGATACTGAATGTTCATTATCTCTCTGAGGGTAGGGACTATAACTTTTGTATTTCTACAGTGCTTTGCACACAGGAAGTTTATGAAATAAACTTTTTCATAAACAAGAAATGTATATGAAAAAAATTTAAAAAAAGGAAATATTTATGGAATTGTGTAAGCCATTTAACTTTTGTATCTTTAGTGTGTGACTTCCTTGGAGAGAAGATTGCATCTGTTTTGGGCATCAGCACCCCAAAATACCAATATGCCATTGATGAGTATTACCGCATGAAGAAGGAGGTGTGTCTCCCTTTTACATTTTCTTGATTCAGTTTGGTTTGCTGTGGACTTGATGGGGTGTGTAATAAATACATGTATTCTCTAGGTGCTCAAAAGATAGCTCCCTTATGCTAGGCATTTCATTTTAGAGTCATTTGTCAAATTAGCATACATTTTAGAATTTTTTAATACTGAAATTTTCCTAGTATCTATTTGTAAAATTAAGCTATATTTCACTGTGCTAGGTGCTATGTATGTTACTAATCTTCACACACCTCTCTCTGGATTATTATTCAATTTTAAGATAAAGAAACAAGACCCAGTCTCTGTACTTAGGATGCATAGACTGGAGAACTGGAGTGGGTTTGATGCACAGAAAATTACAGGTACTAGAAATGTGTAAGTTCCAGTAGTTAAGGCATAGAGATGTGAGGCAATTCTGTCTGTAATGAGATCTTATTATGGGGATGAAATGAGTTTAGCCTTAAACAGTGAGAAAGGTTTAGCACTTAAGAGCATGGGCCGAAGAACCAGAGTCTGAATTCAAATTCTGGCTCTCCCACTTCTAACTTTGTAACATTGTGCAAAATACTTAACCTCTGTAAGCCCCAGTTTACTCATCTTTATAATGAAAATTGCAGTATCCGTGCTCAGAGTTGCTCTAAGGATTAAATGAGTTAATATGTAAAATATATCAGCACTTAGTGTATATTGGTGAACATGAAATAAATATTAGTATCTCTTATTCTCTTTCAAGCACTTGAGGGCAATTTAAGTAAACCTAGAAGGTAGAGGAATGAAGGTACGCTGTATGTTTGGGGAAATGGCAAGAATACTACTTTACTGTCACTGGAGCATGGAGTACAACAGGGGAGTGGCTGGAGATGAATCTGGAAAGCTCAACTATGTTTATTTGGTTTCAAAAATCTTTGATGAATGAGTGTTTTAACATTACCAGCCTTGTTTAGAGCCTCATTACCTCATGGGGAGTATTGTTATAGCCTCTCTAAATGGCCTTTCTCATTCACTCTCAAGCAAGCTCTAGATTAATCTTCCTGACAGGTTAGGCATTCTGTACTGTATACCCATACTGCAGGGACCATACACATGCCACCTTCTCCGTGAATAGTTCTGGAACTGGCAGTTACTCCTAAATCCCTATCGTGCTTATTCCTTTCAGTCTTAATGCTGTTTTTACATGTCTTAATTTTCCTCTTAGATTGTAAACTTTTTGAGGGCAGAGACTGCTTTATCCGTTATCGGTGCTTATGGAAACACTAACCATGCTATATTATTTCATGAATAGACCACCCTGTTCCAATGAACAGGCTGATACCCTATAATTGAAGTGATATAGTATTACTCAATTTTTAGATTAGAATTAATCTGAAAAGAGATAACCCCTTGTCAAAGTTAGTTCAAGTATCTCAGAGGGAAAAGAGGGGTGGCGGTAAGGAAGAGATTAAAGAACTTAAGTGCATATATGCATAACCCATGGACACAGACAATAGTGCCATGAAAGGTCTGGGGAGGGGGGTGGGAACAGGGTGGAGGGGATCAATGGGGGAAAAAGAGGGACATCTGTAATACTTTTAACAAAGATATATTCAAAAAAAGAATGCCACTTTTCTAAAATGTCATACAATATAGTTTTCATTTCAATTTGGGAACGGGGGAAAGGGAAGTATCTTAATTAGACCAAAGTGAATTGAACATGATACTGTTTTGGTTAAAAAAGAAAAGCACACAAGCAGCTAAAAATGGGGGACCAAATACTGTTCCTTTTGGACATTTATATTTCAGCGAGTTTTGGTATTTTCTTTTTAGGAAGAAGAAGAAGAAGAAGAAAACAGGATGTCTGAAGAAGCAGAAAGACAATACCAACAGAGTAAGCTGCAGGCCAGTTCCAGTGTTCAGGCAGATCAACCAGAAACAGTGGTATCCAGTTCATTTGTGAATCTCAATTTTGAAATGGAAGACTGTGAAATAATTACAGAAGGCAAACAAAATCCAGTCTCTGTCCCACCATAGAATGCAATGACTCTCAAACGTCAAACTCTAAGGTGGTTTTTATACCAGGAACTTTCACATTCTCTATTCAGTGGGACTTAATACAGTTATTTATATTATAAATGATTGGAAAGGGAAAAATGTTTCTTTATTCTTAGGCTCTAACAAACATCAGATCTGAAATTTGGATATTTGTACTATGCTTTTATTGTGTGTCAAATTAGTGCTTTGGTTTGAAAATGATCTTACATTTTAGAGCCCTGACTGCCAATTAAGAGGAGTTCAATTTTCATGCTTGTCTATTGTGTTTGTATGAGAAAAATAGGTTAAGTTGCTGATTAAGGCTAATTAGAGCTGATATTCCTAATCTCAGATGAAAATGAGGATCCCCCCCGAGATTTTTTCATGTTATGTCTTATTTATATATATAATCATTAATTTCATACTAAAGATGGTTCACTGAGTAATAAAAGGAGCAAGATAAAAGCACTTTGAATTTTCTTTCCTTGAGAATAGCTTTATTTTACGGAAAGGTGATTGAGTTTATAACACCAAATATTAAGATGGGTTCCCCCCCACCTTTTTTTTTTTAAAAAATAAGCTTTTTTTAAAGAAAATGTTTTTATGGATTCATGGTGTGGTGGGTGGTCCATGATATGTGATGGTAGTAATCTTTTTAGTCGTGGGTGTAAACTACGTAATTTAGTGCTTAAAGGATTAATCATTAGATTATGCAATTAATGTCACCATAAGTTATAGTTTACCAATAGCTCTAAAACATGCTAACCTGAATCTTCCCTCTAATTTGTTTTTAACTATTTGAGATTGTACCTCCAACTCAGATATTTGATTATCCAGTGAAGGCATGCATGTCTACAGGTGATCTGAATCTTCTCTCCCTAGAGGTACTATCTAAAAGAAAACTAGAAACTTTCCTCATTATAGAAGGAAGATAATAACTTATGAAGGTTTTATGTTTCTTAAATTTTCTTTGTCTAACAGTGGCCAGTTTGTAATGTTTATATAGTTATACACTGTGCCTTAAATTTTTATATTTTTATTTATGCAAGCTATAAAATTTCCCATAAATACATTAAATGGTTTTGTCTTATTTTTTAAGCCTCTTTCAGTTTTTCTTTCTTTCCATCCTTTTAACATTTACTGTTCCCTCTGGGTCATAGTTTGTGATATTCTGTCCTCTTCTAATCATCTCATAAAAACCAGACATAGTGTGAGAACCTTTACAATGAATTCAATTCTCTAACAACAATCCTTAACAAACTCGTTTTATAAAATGTAACCCTGGTACTGGTTAATAAAAAGCTAGACAGATTTTTTTATACCATTGATTTTAATTAAAGTATTAACTTGAATACTTTTTTTTAACTGAAACATCCTATTAAAAGAAACATCCTGTCTAAACACTTCTAATCCAGAAATGAAATGAATGGGAAAGTCTGTAATCTTTGAAATACATAATATTTTAGAATACTCAAGGTTAAATGATCACATTATAATTTAAACTATTCTTCAGATATTCAAATTCTTAATGACAAATGTCAGAAGTAGTCCATAAAAACTTCCTTTATTCCTAAATATTACACAGATTTAAAGTGGACTCCTTCTGCTTGGCCGGTGTGGCTCAGTGGTTGAGTGCCAACCCATGAACCAGGAGGTCATGGTTCAATTCCCAGGCAGGGCACATGCCTGGGTTGCAGGCTTGATCTCCAGTGGGGAATGTGCAGGAGGCAGCCAATCGATAATTCTCTCTTATCATTGATGTTTCCTATCTTTCTCTCCCTTCCTCTCTGAAATCGATAAAAACATATTTAAAATAAATAAAATAAAGTGGACTCCTTCTACCCTAACCAAATCACACTTGTCATATTTGAGCTAAGTGGAAACAATTTATTGCTTCCTAATTTGGTCCTATTGCTTCCAAACTATTAATTCCAATAATGAGAACATTTGCTGTGTTCTGTAGGCATGTGAAGTGTTTTATTTAGACCATCTCTAAGGATTCTGCTTCAAGGTTTTACATGCAGCATTCAAGTTTATGTTATGAATACAGTCTATAGTCTTTGAGATCATGTATCATCAAGGTCTGCAGAGTTTTCATTGTCATTTGCAACAAGGGCTTCTCTGTTCTCATAAGTCCAGAAGCCATTCAGATCAATTAGAATGGTGGTGACTGTGTCTCCTTGATTACTGTTGATTAAATCCTGAAGAGAGATTTTCAAAGGATCCTTTGGTTTTACCATGTCAAAGATTTCATCCTGCAAGAGAGAAAAAAATACAATGAAATCTCATATATGATTCACTTAATTTTTATCACAGTGACCTAAAATTCAGCACTTAAGCTTAAAAATTTTTGATCGTTTTTTCTTTTCTATTCAACAGAATAAGCAGTCTCCTTTTCTATGTACAGTCACAGAATTTTACTGGAATATTCCTTAGGTATGTGATAACTGTTTCTCATCAAGGAAGAAACTGAGACTCAGAGTGTAAGCTAATACAAGCTACATAGCTAATTAATAGCTACGTTATCTAATGCAGTGTTCTTTGAGTACATCTTAACTACTCAGACTTTTGTTGGTGAAGCAAAACCTTGATTTAAGTGCAAACTCAGCTCAAACTTTAAGGCTTCAGAGCTAAAATTATGACAAAACCTCATTATTGATGTCACCTTTTACACCCTGGACCTAGGATGAGGGTGGCGGGTTGGTATCAAAGAATTAGTCATCCAGAATAACACTAAATTCTGCTAAAATTTACTGGAATAGATGGAAGAACCTCTTCTATATTTGACTAGTACTATATGAATACTTACAAGGAATTAGTGCATGTTTTCTAATTTTTTGTAGTAAAATTACTCAATATTTAGTGTCATTAAAGGAGGCAAATTACATTTTCAAAAGTTTAGAACAATTCAGGTAAATGAAGTGCATGAACATTTTTATGTTTGTGAAACTTCCTCTTCTAGGTTGGAGGCTGTTTAAAATGAACTAGTTCTTAAGTTGCCTGTTGCATAGTTTAAAATTTGTCTTATTTATATTAAATCAAAATAGCCTTTTCTCTTATACTTGGTTAAAACTGAATGAGTTATTTTATTACATTACTCAACTTGGACCTGAATCAATACTGGATACTTGCTTTTCATAGCTGGGGAAAGTCTCAATACTAAATGCTAAGTAGTAGCATGTGTTTCAAACAGTTTTCAAAGTGTAGGATTGATGTCTCCTTAAATAATACCAAAGCAAAGTGGCCCTTTAAAGTAGCAGGCTAAAAATGTGCCCCGACCTAACTAGTTTCCAAGTTAAAAATTTGGTTTACAGTGGAATAGTTTGCCAAAGGATGCTGGCCATGAATGCTTTCAATGAGAACACAAGGGTGAAAATGCTAAAATCAAACTACAAAAATTAGTTGAACTGTGGTTTCAGTTTCTAATGACTTAAATATTGGAACAAATAAGAGCAAATACTTGATTTGGTTCAGTACTTTAAAATTCATAAGTTGCTTTCATATAAAATTTTGTTTAATACAAATGGTTATCTGATGTGTAAATTAAAGGCAAAAGTAACCTTGACATCTTGAAATGAAACAGGATCTTGTCCATGGATTTTCATTAGTTCCTGTATGGCCTGTATTTAGCAGAAATAAATCTGTAAATAAAAAATAAAATACAGAACAGAACCTCTCCCCCCAAATCCCATGGCCTCTTTCTAGTTCCACGTACTTTCCTATCAGACCACAAGCCTCGTTTTCAACAACTTTTGCCAGTATTCTCAATATCCTTGACCTTGTTTATCACATCCACTCAGCAAAACCAAACACAGGATCAGTGTAACCATCAACCTTTCTAGACCTACACCTTAGCTATTGAGAGCTTCAGAAAGAAAGTATACAAAACCACACATTATTGCTACAGCATAGGAATGGTCTCCAACCTTAGATGAACCTTTAACATGGCCTATTATTCTATTATGACATTCTCCCATTACCCACGAACACTGTTCACACCTTCACCATTCGTTGCCATCTACTTGACAGAAAAATGGAGGTAAATCTCCCTTGAACGCTTCTTTTTAAAAAATATATATTTTTATTGATTTTAGAGAGAGAGGGAGAGAGAGATAGAAACATCAATGCAAGACAGTCATTGATCGGCTGCCTCCTGCATGCCCCCGGCTGAGGATTGAGCCCACAACCTGGGCATGTGCCCTGACCGGGAATCTAACTTCCATCTCCTGGATCGTAGGTCAATGCTCAACCACTGAGCCAGGCCAGCCAGGATGAACTCTTCTCTTTTACAAACTTTAACAAAACAATACCGAAGAAAGTACAGTTGACCCCTGAACACTTGCAGAGGTTAGGGGTACTAACCCCTCACGCAGTCGAAAATCCAAGTGTATCTTTTGGCTCCCTAAATACTCAGTCTACTGTTGACCAGAAGCCTTAACAATAACATAAACAGTGGATTAACACATATTTTGCATGTTACAAGTATATACTGTATTTTTTAAGCTAGGGAAAAGGAAATGTTAAGAAAATCATAAGGAAGAGAAAATACATTTATACTACTGGTACTGTACTTACTGATACCATAAGTTTATGTCATCTGTTTATAAGATGAATTGTCCGTCAGTACCTACATCACTATTGTCTTATATGATACAAAACACTGTAGATGTTATACATATTAATATTAGCCATCAAAAATGAAAAGACATGAAAAAGAAATATTTATTTTCAGGTATAATGATTCATGTATGGATTAAATGAATTAGCAATACGATTGCTTTATGGTAGCTTAGGTGTAACTGATATGACTGCTTCACAGTACTGAGGAAATCTCCAAAGAATTTTTCAATATATTTGTTGAAAACAATCTGCATAAAAGTGGACACACACAGTTCAAAATTGTGTTGTTCAAGGGTCAACTGTACTGTGATCCAGTTCGACAAATAAACGTTTTAGATGAGAGTCATTCACTAGAAAATGTGAAGTTAAAAATTTTTTAAAACAAAATATTTTTACTGATTTTTAGAGAGGGGAAGGGAGAGGGAGAAAAAGAAACATTGATGTGAGAGCAAAACAATGATTGGTTGCCTCCTGCATGCCCCCTATCAGGGATCAAACCTGCAACCTGGCCATGTGCCCTGACCAGGAATTGAACCTGCAACCCTTCAGTGCATGGGATGAAACCCAACCAGCTGAGCCACACCAGCCAGGGCTGACGCTTAAAATTCTTGGTAGTAAACTAAATATGTCCCAAGTGCCTACTCTGTGTGTGGTACCACTGATATCAGAGTGTGCACAGGGAAACTCTTTGAAGTAGATGAGAATCTGAGCATACTTTTAGCTACTAGAGTAGTAGACCTGGATGGTAGGATCCAGAGTGTACCATCCAGGCCCAGCTTTATCACTGTGACACTGATGTACGAAGGCTCTATGAACAGCCCAGGAGTGGAGGGCTCAGTAACTTTTCCTTAGCCCAGAC